GTGAGGGCTACCTGTTTCAGTGGTGCGTCCTGGAGCAGGGCCGTAACTGTAGGTTGGATAAATGCTGGTAGAGATTCGAGCCACAGTTTCATTAACGATTTCAGAATCGGCTGTCGTGGGTCCTGCAAGAGATTGCAGGCACGTGAGGTGGTGGGTAACGTGCTAATAACGTCCTCAATCGTTCCTCCCTCGATGGGAGGAAATATCTGAGGATCGCCTCTTTGAGACGTTCGTAAACATTGAGCACGTTGGAATTGAGGACTACCTCACGGACAGCTATTAAATGGTCTCCCAGTAAACATTCGAGAGAGTAGGCGTAATTCTGCCGTTGGCCTGTAATATGACGGGTCTCGAATTGAGACTCTATGGCAGCGAACCAAACTTCGGGGTCGTGAGGAATAAAAGATACAGATCGAAAGTGTATAACCTGTACGTCAGAGTTTATTGCGTTAATACTATTCTTATCGTTATCCGTCATGTCAAATATATTATATATTAAAAATTAATATGAAAATATATGACAGACGTGGATAGATAAGCGATAGAATCACCGAAATTGACTTCTTTGGAAGGTTTGGTTGCGATTGCCAAGTGTTCGTAGATGTAGGTTCATCAGTTGTAGAAGATTTGACCGAAGTTGAGGCGTGTTCCAATATTTGGCCCACCAAATGTAGCGTGGTGTCGAGTTGAGCTTGACTATGAACACCGATACAAGACTAGGTGCCAATTAACCAAAAAGATCCTCGTGGACCAATATCAGAAGGCAGATAATAGTATTAGTTGAAATATATTTGCTGGCAATCTCGTGGTATCGAAAGAATACCGAGATCGTGCCAAAGAAATACAAATGCGATCGGCAAGGAAAGGTACGTGCGTAGTCACAAACTGCGCAGAAGTAATGGAGTACAATGGAAGACTAAAATGACTGTTTTTAGCACAGTTAAACAAACGAGCACAGTAAAACAGTCACTGGTACAATTGGTTATAATAATAATTGTTTTCATTGAACCAATCGCGTTCTGTTGACAAAAGTAGGTCACTACAGATGGAACGACCGAAATGCTTATATCCGCTTTGAATGCAGAACTAAGTAGCCGAAATTTATTCACTTAGACCAGAGTTCGCTTTTCTAAATGTCGCACAAAATGTTTTTGAATGACTTATTAACGATATGTTGCAAGATTGGTTCACTGTTTCGAGTTCAAATTTCAGGCAGGTGAATAAACGGTTGTATCGTTTTTCAACAACTCGCCACTTCCGAACGTAAAATGGTCCAAGATAGTCTATACCAACACAATTGAATGGTGGCGCAAAACCTACCAGGCGACATTCAGGCTGTGGAGCCATAATCTGTGTGCACGGCATACTGTCGAGTCTCTTGCATATGAAGCACTGTTTTAGGACTCTGCATAGAAGCTTGAACCTACTTCTCATTTTCTTAGATGGAGTGTCATTTCCTTATTCGAAAAAAATCCATCTACACTCCTCGGACTTTCTTGTGATTCACATGTTTCACCGTGCTCGCCTTTATGCCATATTTGCCTTAGTCTCCATCTCTATAGAAAATGAAATCATTTGATTTAATTTACTTATATTCTGCTTCGCAATATCAATTTCTTCCAGTCTCAATCTATCAAGAATGAACGGTCTTCTATCTAATCTCATCTTCATACTGTGGACGAACTGTTCGGTCCGTGAAACCACTCATTAAGTTTACTGCTACCATCTAATAACAATCCACACGATCCACAGGATTCTGTTTACTTTTAACATATATATCCATGGGATTTCTGTAGACGTTTCGCCAATCGTTGCGAATCGTTACGAATCTCTCAAAAAGCTTGGTTGTGTTTCTTATGCAATGAAGTGCGATTAATGAATCCGTCCAATAAGTGATAGAAGAGATAAAGGATACGCAATTGTTGTTCCATGTGTTTTCCGGTCTGAGCACACAGTACAGCAACTGTTAATTCCATTCTGGGAGTAACCGTAGGTTTCAGTGGGACAACCATGGACTTAGCTAATAGAAAGGAGCAATTAACTTGACAGTGGACATCTTCAAAAGGAGCATATTCCACAACACCATATACAAATCCCGAGGCATCGGCAAAGCACTGAATTTGAGTAGCTGGCGGTTCATACGATTCTGGTACGCGACATCTGTGAAGTAACAGTTTACTTAGGAGCCTCATACCTCTGAGCGGACAGTCCATTCTCATAAAGCGTTCTCTAGGAAGCTTTGAGTCCCACGCCAGATTTTCCTGGAAAGTATCTTGCATAATAAAATCAGCTAGTAAAACACCTAGTGCTATAAACCCTACTCTGTCGAATATAGAGACTACATGCGATAAAATGGTTCTCTTTGTAGGAGTCGTTTCGAATTCGCGCACTCCTAAGCAGATCTTATACGTTCGAACGTTCCACTCTATTCGTAGAGTCATTCCGTTTTTTTCCAAATATAAACAGATGTCTGCATTTTTTTCTATGCGGTCTTCCTCTGGAACAAACTTCATTAATCAAAAATTGTTGCTGGTCCATTTGGTTAGATTGAAAACCTTTAAACGTGACACTTCCTTCAGCTGAGTATATGTTAATTTAGCCTCTTCTAATGTATCAACACTGGTCAGTAAATAGTCGACACAGAATTGTTCCAATGATATCTGTATAATACACTCGGGAAACCTGGCCTCAATAGCCAGGAATGTTCTTTGTAGAGCAAACGTTGCGCAACTTCGTGAGGAGTTCGCACCAAACAAATTCTCTTTTATCTAAGGACATCACGATCCTCTAACGGGACAATCACTTGGTGAAACATATCCTCAATATCTGCCGTGAGTCCTATATGCCGTTGCTGAAACCTGGTGAAGACATATACCAGACTGGTGAACAAATGTGGACCAGAACACAAGATTTTATTCTGGAACGTATCGGTGTATCGGTGTTGAATACGAACTTAACTTATTAGGTTTTTTCGGATGGAAGACATTATGGTGCGGCAAATACCAAACCCGACAATTAATCGAGTTCTCCGTAGCCTCGTTCGACATGCTCTACCATCACATTAAAATAATGCTTATGCAGTCACTGGTCATGGACGTGCCGTTTCCCCAAGGAATTTAATATACTCATCTCTAGTTTTCGATTATTAAGTAGACTGTGTTGGTGACGTCAGGGCAAATCTATTTGGTAATGCTCATCTAATAAATATAGATCTGGACATAGCATCCAAGGATTTACGATCTTCAACCAACATGAGCACACGGTGATTCGGGTCGTCTTCAAAGTTTATCTTATGAAACTGGTCTAATCTTCCAGTTCATCTTTAGGCGACAGGTGATTTAGGATACTCATATTTTTCGTGGTCTCACGGTAATTCTTTGTAGAGTACAGTTCGATAGATTATCCCACTCTCTATTCTTTTGTCTCATGTGCCTCACATACATGCACCCTACCAGTACTTTGATATCTTCGCTGCCAACCCTTGGGAGGGTCACATAGCTCAAGTGAGATCATGATACCATCTGAGATGTCGTTGGTACCGTCCTACGCAATATAGGTAGTCTATCTAATATCCATACCTTTGAACTTCCTTCGACAGCATATGACCTCGGTGCTCGACAGTTTCTTGGTATGTGGTCCACCTTCAGATCGACATTACAAAACCTCTTTAGCACAAACTCTATCATATCATTATTATCTTTATCTCTGAACCATTCACATTGGTCTAAAGGGTGGTTTTCAGTACATTATAAACATGACAACTTAAGAGTGCTTGGTCTTACGTAGTAGCGAACGACACTCTCGCCCTATACTTTGAGTCAAGGTTTCTTTTAGTAACAACAGCGGACTGCTTTTGGTTGCGATTAGAGGGATCTCCATCGACGAATAATCCGTATCTGGTTTTAGCAACATCGGACTGCTCTTCCAAAAATTCAAAAAGGTCTTTAAGTAGAGGCTCTCTCTTCTGATTAGAGCAATGCACAATAGTAGCATTAGATTTACCATCACAATACTAAATCAAATGGTTTAACCTAGATCTACTTAAAACACATCGAAATTCCATATGAAACTCCAGTAATTCATGAGATTACCATTAAACCTTATGATTTCTCTCTTTGGTAGGTCTAAAGATTGAGATATCATTGTTATCCAGTCCTTCCCAGGAGGAACATCAACTGCACGTGAGGAAGATGTAGACTCGTACATCACCTTGTCAGCCACAAAATGTCTATGATGTCCTCTTCTCTTGTGACATAACCTTTCCAACCCAATTTCTCTTTATCTGAGCTAAGAGTATTCCAACTAATTTTAACTCTAATAAGGGATCTATTCGACAGCCGTTTTCTTCAAACTGGTTACCAGTATGAGTTACTGAACAGTGGGGAGACAATCTAGTTTTATGATTTTCTGTAGACATTAACAACACTCAACGTATGAATTTCTGATGAGTTGCTGGTCATAACATCGTAGGATTTAATTTGTCCTACAGATATACTACTAGAACTGTGAACGCAATACCTTCGACCCCAGAGTCTATGTGAAAGCTATAGTCAGAACAAGGACAACTTAGCTTTAAACTTTATCTGTTTCAAAATTTAGAAATAACAATTTGATTAGTACAATAATTAAAGTAATTATAATCATTAAATGGAACGCACAAACATACCGACCAATATCACGTGTCTTATCGAAATGAATAAACATTACGAGTCACACTTATATAATAATGTCCTTCAATAGGCAGGTTACATGCAACAGGGATAGTTTACAGACATATCAGATCAAATCAACGTGGTGGGTGCTTAATCAATGATTTGATGAATTAATTATGGATATAACTAACAATAATGTTTTCACAAGTGTATATATGATCAGATTGTTCGGAATACATTGGGTAAAAGTATCATATCTGATAACCTTTATCTCACCATCGAATTATCCAAATCTATCAAAGAGACTGATTGTTTTAAATAGATTTTATATTAATTTAAACCAAATAACAATATTGATGAACTCTAAACATTGAATATCTTTAGTGAAAAAAAAACATATGTGAAAAATAGAATTAAAAAAAAAATGAAATAACGTTTTGTCATTAAAATAAGCTGTTTATGCAATGGTTTCTTTCTCAAGATATGTAAATATACAAAAAAAAATAATAATAAGTATTTATGAAGTCAGCGATAAAATTAAGGAATAAATATATAGATGTGAGAATTAGATTAGGCCATCAAGAGATATATCACACTAATAATTAACAGTAAAATTGTAATAGGCATTACAAATACAAGGTAAGATAACAAAGGTATAGGAACAATAACAGAGAAAGACTGTTGACTGTTTATATTTCTGAAGTTATTGCCTTTTGGACAATTGAGTATAGGATGTTTAATTTGAGTAATATATATAGAATCATCATTAGTGTTATCAGTTTTTGTTGATGGAAGACTAAAAAGCAAAGAAATAATGAAAGTATGAGATAGATAGAACAGGAGTTAATTTAGTTATAAACGCTAAATGACTGAATATAAATATGAAGTGATATTACAATGGGAAATCGGTTCGAACCGGGGTTGAATCAGTCAAACACAATGTGTCAGCTATTAGATGGCAAGCACAAACCAAAGTGTAGTAAGTGAAATCTTGTATGTTAATTGGATCACATCAACAATAATATGGATTTTGCATACACATTATGACATGTAATCGGTTTAATTAGCCTAGCTTCTATAAGGATGAATAACAGAAGTGAATAGTACTGAATACATGTTGGTAAACTTATGGTATCAAGTTATCATAGATACACAGTTATTTTTACTCATCATCGGACAAGATTTGATAATCAGATCTTCATTCTACTGATATTTAAGTGACCTGTCAAGTCTGTATCTTCCTGTCGTTTGAGTTTTAATGTTTAATTTTTTGTTTGATATTTCATATATAAATGTGAAATTTTAGGAAGAAAATCCTATTTCTCTGATTAGTGTCGTTGATTCTGATGTCAAATCATTTTGAGGGTTTGGGTTGATAATCCAATCTCGTGAGAAATTATCACTGAATTTCATCTAATAAAAGGTATTCTATTTGTTTATTTTAATAATCGAAAACTTTTAAAATCAAATATTACAATTTTAATCTATAACAATAATGAAGTAATCGCCTATGAGCCCAAAGCTTTCTATGATACCAAGTGATATTACTCGAATTGGATAGCAGTATAAACCTGCAACCAGATCTTACAGAGATTTCACTTATCGAAAAACTCCTATGGCTAGGTGACAACAAATTTTAAGACATCTAGAGAAACAGGGAACTATAAGAAGCTTGAATTGTTGATGTATTTATAAAAGTTGCTGGACATAATCAAAAATGAATTATGTTGTGAATGTTTGACTGAAATATAAAATGGTACAAGGCATGATTCTTAATTATTAGAAAGGATGACAAACTTAAATCTAATACTAGTGATTCGTACTTATCGTCACGTTAATAACGACATAATTATAACCGAACACTACTAAACAACATTACAGCAAACAGATATTTGTGAATTAACTATGTTAAATGATTGAAGGTAGTTGTAGGAAAACTTGTACCCAGGTTTCATATTGACACTTGTCAGCAAGGAGTACCTAAAATATTGATGGGATTGATCTTTTTAATGGAATTCAAATATGTGTCACCTAGTTCGCCAGTCTGATACATTACCATTGAGGTATTCGGGGCACGGTTGACTTAATGTAGGACAGATATTTACGATTGACTGATCATTAAATAATGACTTATGCTGTGTTTGTCTAGCCAATTCGTGCCGATAAGACTCTATGGATGAAGTTCCATTGTGTTCACTAGTTTAAATGAGTTAACATCATATGTCTTATGTTGAGATGCCAAATGGTTGAAAATAATCGATAAAGTTTATCGCCGAACATAACATGTTATCAGAACTGATTTAATAAATGAATACATAAATAAAACATACTGATATCGTAGATGAATAGGTAAATCTAAATAACTAATTGATTGATTTATCCCCAGTTGATTAATATTAAATTTGAATGTTAATGGTTTAGCAAGCCATTCTGGAGCTTCAATATCAACCAAATTATTCTGAATAATTAATTGTTTACTTTCATCAGAATGATCGGTATTTTTCTTATCCAACTTAGAAATTGTAAACCAATTTACAAATTGTTTAATGGTATCATGTAATTTTTGTTGTGTTTCCGATTGACTAATTGAAAATTTTAAGTTCGGTTGACTAGAAGTTAATTCATATGGATCAATGAAAAAACCTGAAAATGAGTTAGAAATTATCAGTTAATTTGTATTAAACAGTGAATAAAAACGAATATAATACAATGAAATTTGGAAGCGAATGACCTAAAAGCAGAGAGAAGACGTCCATTTTGGTGAAGTGTTGTTCTCTGAGCTGGATGGTTTAGTCGTGGAGCTTTCATCGTTCTTCTGAACGACATCATCAGCACCTGACGTTTGTGGTGATGACCACAACCAAACCATCCAACACAAAGAACAAAACTTCACCAAAATCATCCACCTGAGCTACAAATCTTCTCTTTCATCTCAAAGTCGTCCATTTTTTTGTATATTTATTTTAGATAACTCGTCTCCCATTTTTTTGTAAAATACGTTAATAGAACAAGATTACAATCGGCTAGATTTACGAGACAGTCCTTATTTACATATTTATTAATTAAACACATAGACATTGATACAAGAGGGCACCAAATACATATGCGCCTCATAATTCATTCGATTTGTGTGAGAGCTGGGATACCGCCCGGGTGCCCAAAACGAAACAGCTGGTTTTCTTAGGAGGCTACACCCGGAGCCTTCGACCTAAAGGTCTGATCCCCAAGGACGTGGAACAACGTTAGGAGATGTATTCCCATGGTAACCGGTGACCGACGATTGGTTTATACTCCATTTGTTCCTTCAGGATACTGGAGCCGCTGTGCGCCATTGGTTTGGAATCACGGTTTTCCAACTCCCCTAGGTGGACTCTCCATGTCCACCAACCCGGTTAAAGTGCCGGACATTCGCTTTTAGTCCTCTAAATTTCGTAAACAAAACCCGTTTTGGGACAAGGCAGTGAGTAGGACTTCCGTGGCAGTGGTTGTATGCACGTGGCCATGTGAGAGCATTGGGGGGCTCTTATTTACATAACAGTATGTGTGACAAATTTACAATCTTCTAGATTTCTTTTTCAGATTATTGCAATCTCACATATTTGTTATTAGTAATTATTATCTATTGCTTTCCTTCTTGAGTGTAAATGCATACTTTAGGCTTATTGAGTCTTTGGATCACTTTTTTGTTATTCTGCTATATTTAACATTTTTTCAAACACATTACACGATCTTCAGTAAATAACGTACTTCTAAACTACACGTGAACCGCCATATTTGAGTCTCATTGGGAGGTTTACTTCTAAGACAATTACACATATCTGATCGCGTTGCACAATGAAATACATGAACATATGTAGGTAAATTTAAGATAGAAGAAAGTTGGCTGAACTTGACATTTTTGTATCATCAGTTTCTCTTTTTTAATGGGTAACCAACAGACGTCTAGTTTTAGTAGACCTTAAACTGTGAAGCAAGTGATTTGATGAACTGAGAGCGCTGACCTCGTTTAGACACTCTAGTTAGTGGTATATAAAAACTGTTTGTCTCAAGACAGACTTCATGCTTTAGCTTTAAAATTACATCAACATGTATCCACGGTAAAATGCAGAGTCTAACCTAAGACTCTGAAATATCTTTGGTAATAACTATATTTTCTGATCACTCAACCGTAAATCAATCGTTAACATTTCCAACGAAAGTCGATTTATAACAAGCGCAATCTAACACTGATTCCAATTGAGTTATTCATTTATTCTATTGTCGATTATTGTACGAAGAGTAACAATGTGAAAATTCTCCACATTTTTAAAAAAAATAACATTATTGATAAGAGTATATAACATAAAATACAACATCATAAAATACCTGATGGTAAGTGTACATGAAGTTGACAATCCTCCAGTAAACTAATTGAAAAATCATAGAAATCACAATGCAATCGAAGATGAAAACCACGTTGAGTCATATTACAACTAAAATAAGGCTGTACAGTACTAACCGAATTATTCAATGTAATAGTAGTAGTAGTAGTAATAATATCAGCGTAGGCAAATGACAGAATTGAAATTATACATAGTATTACCATTTGAATCATCATTGCCTAATTCAAATGAATTACAAATGAAAAATAAAGGTATAGATATAAATATATCATATCCTGAAAGTTACTACTTTAGACTACACGTCAGTTTACAAGAGTGACAGCAGTTTAATCAAATACGCTACGTAATGATAGTAAAAATAAAAATTACTATTTACTGACTGTATAAGTATGAATTACAAGTAAATGCTTTTAGGTTAATTTTAAATTATTGGATATTCAACAATAAATGTGACGAGAGGTGTAAAAGTCTGAGTAAAGTAGTTGGTTTTACAAGTATATATTAGAGGTGAAGCATCATAAATTCAATATATAGTAATCACAAATTCCTTTATGCAGCACATACTTCAAGTCATATTTACTATACAGTGAGCTTATGATACAGTTGGTATTGGGTAATATGATGGATGTTTTGACTTTGCTTGTACATGTTACTTATTTCACCACGGAAACTAAAAAAGACTGTTAATATCTCCTCCAGAAAACCGCTATACAACCACAATAACAACACTATGTAATAGGTATAGCTGTTTATACATATTTCCCATTGTAATGATGTATTCGTGGCAAAAGTGACGAGTAGGATGACCGATAAACAATTATTTTAAAGTGTTAGTGTGAATGCCAACCTTAAAATAACAACTTTGATATAAATGTAACGAAGTACTTGAATGTTTATTGACTCATAGGTTTCTCTTTAACTGCATGAGCTTCCATTATCCATAAGATGACGCACTGGCTTAAGGTTCAACTAAAAATTTGACGTTTCACATCACAGACTGACTTTGGTGAGTGTATTATTCAAAACCAGGAAATACTGGACAACAACCTTCGTCGTAGTATAGCATTTACTGGCAGTGAAAATCCATGACTACATCAATATTGAATATTAACTGGAATTAGAAATGTGAATTCTCCGAAGTCAACTTCGTGAAATAAAATCGAAGAGCTCACAGGGATATCGGAATGTTCAGAGTTCGATTCCTGGTGAGATCATAAATATGCAATAATGAGTCACATATTAGGACGAAATAGTTGCTGAGTTCGCAATGAAAACCATGAAATTCAACAGTCAAGTATTATTCATCGAATTTAGTGAGATTTTTATGTACTTATCGTTTACTATGATGTAAATAGTTATCGAAGAATCCCAACGGTGAAAAAATAGTTTTAAATTGGAATTGTTTCATTTCAGGTTTTAATTTATTAACAAATGGAGGACTAACTGATTTAACATTAATAAATTGTAAAATAACGACAATAAGCATGTTGGCTTCTGAGATCATATACTTTCAGAATGATTGTATGTTTTGGACAATTTTATACATCTATCAGGATGTTAATTAAGAAACTAATTTAAATAGAAAGGAATTCGAATTAGATAATAGCTAACTTAATAAAAAATCTAATGTAAAACAAGGTCAGAATTAGTATTACCTACATTAATAATCCATAATATGATATCAGTTTATTTACGACACATTGACATGCTAAATTCCGAGTAACTTTAGTTAAAGGTAACTCTGAGAAGAATCACCATTTAAGCATACCATATAAGCTTAAGAAAATTAAAATCTAAATATCTGGATACCAAATAGTTTAAGTGGTTTATTAATTACAGTTTTATTTACTCGGGTTCGAGGTATACTTTTTGTATGAAGGTTAGTAATGTTAACATCAAAAGCTGATTGAATTACGTAGAGTGGGACTTCAGACAAGCAGCTTTGTCATTTGAAAGCTCTAACCGTTAAGCCATTGCTTCAGACAACGGGATATAGAATACACAAATGGGCAGTACTGAAATAATACATGCAATAGTAATATTCTGAAAAGGAAATAACTAAATATTATAAAAACGACATCCTGTTATTATGCTGCAGACATATTAACAAAAGTGGTTCTTATTATATCCGAGTTCTCCGAGATAGAAATATTACACTGAATCTCTAAACAATCCATATCAGGTGGATAATGGTTCTTTCACACAGGACTTTTAACTTACACCAACCGGGGTGAATACAATACGAATTACACAAACAGCCGCTCTCTAAACATGTGAAACAAACTGGTTTCGGAACAACTCAGTAGATGATCAAGGATAAATAAGAACCTCCATCCAAATTAGAATGAATGGTTTTACAATAGTTTCGTGCTAAACATGTGGAAAACCGAAACCGAGATTTAGCACGGCAATATTTAGGGAGATAATCAAAATGATCAAATATAAATAGTGTTACAAAATAACCGTTTAGTTAATAACTATCTAATTATGTTAAGATATTGAATATGAATCTTTAAAGCATTAATATATGAATCATTTAATGTGTAAATGTGCTCAAATTGTAGTCAGTGAAGAAGCTTCAATATATCACATTAAATGAAATATATTTAATAAAACATCAATCAACATGGCATCACATTCAATCGGTAGTTGTAGTCTGATGTGGATCTGGAAACTTTGAAATGAGTAACATGGGAATACACTGAATATTGGTGTTTAGTAATGAAAGTGATCTGTGGGAAGAAGTTGAGAAGAGAACTAATTACAGATAACACCACATAGACGACTGAGCCGATCAGATTATATTACGCTAGTTTGATATGTGAATTTTAAGATTTGTACACATAAGAGTTCAAACTTACTAAATGGAAGAGTAACCAATAACAAAGTGATCCAACCTAAGAATACATTCAGCGTATTTGAATACAACACATTCTAAGTGTTATGAGTAAACTAAGCATTGGAATAGTGAAGTGGATTTTACTTTGGAGCTGTGACTTCGACTGAACAAAGCATTAAGTAGTCTAGTAGTCATTCCCTTTAAAATATCTTTCATATTCTAACAAGTTTATGAAGAAGATAATGTTGAAAAGAAACATGCATATCAGTTCTGATTAGGAACAAGAGCTTCTTAAATTTTTAAAAAATCAGTTAAGTTAGATGTTAGGAGTTCAGGAATCGACATCTGAATAATGTTCATTCTTTTCAATTTATATTTCCAGTGTGAGAATGGCCCATGGGCAAACTCGAGGAAGCTCTGAGGAGCGCAGAAAGAGCTGAAGATATTCCAATCAATCATCCTTTGAAGGGATATTCCAGAATCTCGACGTGTACCTTCCCTATTGGACAAATGCTAATAACCCCCTGTATGTGGATTGAAGGACTATAGTGATGATTTCGTGATTACTAAAAACTATGCCTGACAGTTTTGTACCATAATTGACACTGTTTGGAGTAGCATTCCCTTCACTTATCTTCTGTTTTCTCATTTGAAACCTGGAGGATTCTAGAGTTCGAGTGCTCACGTTTTACGCCGTATAATAAGAAACTAAGTTTTAGATATAACATGTGACGGGGTTAGTTTATCAAGATGTCATTTACCTTTGACTAATTTGAAGCCTTGCTGGAGCGTCAAGAAAAACGTTACGAACAGTTCCAGATTCGTATTCTAGAAGCTCTAACCCAGCAAATGAACCTAAATCGAAAGGGGCTTACAGATGATCCTTTGAAATCCCATGTCGACCACATCCTTAATTTTATCCACGAGTTTCATTTTGATGGTTTGGCTGGTGTTACATTTGAATCGTGGTTCAAGAAATATGAATATGTATCCAAGGTCGACCTAGAAAAATTTGATGATGCCGCAAAGGTCAGAGTACTGGTACGCAAACTTAGCACAGCTGAACATGAACGCTACACCAATTTCGTTCTCCCTAAGAATCACAGAGACCTTCCATTTGATACAACGGTTGTAGCTTTATCGCAAATCTTTGGTGAACAGTTATTTGTTTAATATTCGTTAACAATGTCTGAAGTTTGCTAAAGCTGGAGACAATGACTGGGTGCAACATACTGGCATAGTAAATCGTGAGTGTGAGCGTTTCAAATTATCATCAACGACAGAAGACCAGTTTAAGTGTCTTGGTTTGTATGCAACTTACAGTCACCTGAAGATGCCAACATCAGAGCTAGAATTCTGAGTAAAATTGAACAGTATTCAAATATAACGCTACAAGAAGTGACTAGTGAATGTCAGAGGTTGATGAACTTAAAACATGACACTTCTATGGTTGAAAACAGTGTCTCTAATTGCACTTTTTTGTAACTATAAAGCGAAATGTCGTAAACATCTCATAAACGCGCCTAAATAGGTTATGCGATTGATAGACATAATTATGTGCTAAAACTTGTTAAAATATCTAGATGGCAGGAATAGGTAGGTCATCAATGTCTAAATCCATTTCCGATGATTATGTTACCTATGCCTGTGGAGAAGATCTGTAGCTCAGGTGGATGATTTTGATGAAGTTTTGTTCTCTGAGTTGGATGATTTGGTCATGGAGCTTTCATCGTTCTTCTGAACGACATCATCAGCACAAACTTCAGGTAGAAATGAAGTGTTCGAATTTGTGCACAGCTTGTCCTGTACATCTTGATGTTGATTGGTTCTTTTTGTTGTCATTGTGGGATAAAACCAAAACAAGAAAGTAAACAATGACAAGTTAAAGGTCAACAAGAACCAATCAACATCGAGGTGTACAGGACAAGCTGTGTACAAATTCGAACACTTCATTTCTACCTGAAGTTTGTGCTGATGATGTCGTTCAGAAGAACGCTGAAAGCTCCACGACCAAACCATCCAGCTCAGAGAACAAAACTCCATTAAAATCATTCACCTGAGCTACAAATCTTCATCATCTCAGAATGTCAATCATGTTAAAATAACCAAGGATAATTGTTGAAATATAATCATCCTATATCAAATTATACAAACATAAGTAAGCAAGAATAAAGAAGTATATCAAAATTCATCAAGTAAGCGAACAAAATTCAAACTATTGACATACATGCACATAGTAAACTCTTTTTAGAACATCGAAATATCTCAGTAACATGAAGTTAAAACTCAATGTTCACTTCTTAACAAATAATTTATTTGTTTACAAAATCTATTTGGGGTTAACTATACAGGTAATGCCTATATACATGTAAAGTCATGTTAATAATATACAGTAAAATTATGTTGTATTATTTCAATTCAGCATTTCATTTGTTCTTTTTTTTACGTTTACTCTTCGGTTTCTTAATGTTTTGCATTGATTCTTCCGAAACAATTTTGTTATTATTTTCTTGTTTTGAAAGATCATTGATGTATTTTTTATCTGAAATCTTTAAAATAATTGAAAATAAATTACACTAAGTTGAAATACTATTACCACTACCGGATACTAATGGTTAATTATGAATCACCAAATGATGTCTATGTGATTGGACAAGAAATGTTTTTCTTTGCCAACGGATAAGATATAAACCATTGATAAGCTTGATTGTCTAAGAGACAAATGCAAACACATAAATGAGACCATATACAACCGATTCTCCGTCTCATTTTCTTGAGTTGCTACGCTCGTGTACAGAAAACGTGCATCAATACCAAGCCTCAGATACTGTGAGTCAGAATAAACAGGACTCTATACTTCATGAGGTTTTACGGAGAAGGGGTGTTAGAAATGACTTAATATCCCCAAAACTGCTTGTGTTAGTAAGTACATTATTAGTTTCTGTAGTTTCAAGGTTACGTTTCAGTACTGAGATCAAAAATGCTTTTTTGCCTACTAGTTCGTACCTTTTTTAATATACTATCCTTAGCCTTACTTCGGAAGGCGTCGTAAATGTGTGGGAACATATTGACTTCATTATGAAGGATGTTGAATAAACCGTTTTACTTAGTATAGTTTACTTAGGCTAACCCGGTTTAGGAGACGGCGGCATAAAAAATAGCTAAATACGAACCAATTTGAAGAAAATTATTCCGATCATTCCTTTACTCAGACCGTAAGAAGCGCAACATAGGGTAAGGCTTCTTAGATTACTCAAGCGTGACTCAGCATCTATAGGCATGAAAGATGCAAGCAAAAATAAGACATACATATGATTATAAACATGTATCAATATCACATGTATAAATGATGAAATAAATGGAGGTTCAGACCAATTCAGCTGTCCATAAGTTAAGATAAGTCGCGTAAGCGTGTCATAATAAAAATCTACAACAAGTGTATTTATCTATGAACATTAGTTGCTAGCCTGGTTAATTTTATTTATATCATAAATAGGCGTTTTATTTACAAACTGACTTTTCAAT